TTGCTGTGCATTTCCCTTTCCTTTTTAGAGCACAGCCACACTGTAAACTTGGATAGGTTAAAAACTGGATTATGTGGATTTGCTTAAGCAGAGAGTTACTGAAGTAGAAAGAGGGAGCATTCAGGAGAAACCACCTTTCCATCACCAGATCACACTACCATGATGCTGATCTTGAGCCTCCTGTGATAAAATCCTTAAGCATTTCATATTTCAAGCATGTCTGTTATACTTCAGTGGACTCACTGAGGGATTATTCCTCAGAGCTGTTGTTTCACGCTGTCTGTAGGTGTTGCATCTCCTACGAACAATTACAGTTGTCCAGGAGTTGAATTCTGGGCAATCACAAATGCAACTGCCTTAAAATGCAAGGCAGCAAGATGCGATGAACAGTAACGCTGCTGCACGGGAACACTGCCGGTGCCTCTTGCGTCAGTCGCAAACGCATCAATGCATCCCCCAGACACCCAAGACGGCTCTGGAAGGACTGGTGCTGGTAGAGAGCAGCACTGCATTTGCGTGCTGGGGCTCTGGGAAACCAGCCTAACCCAGAGGCAGAGCAAACCCAACAACCCTTCAGTTACTTGGTCAGAAACAAAGCTGAGGAACAGGGCCTGGTGGCAGCAAAACTCATTCCACAATAATGGCAGATTTGAGGGAAACAAAAAGCGGTACTTGGAGTGGCAACATGAACAGCATTTCTTGTTAAAAACTGCCGTAGATTCCTCATCTGATTAATAACAAGCACCTGGATTCGGTTGCTACGAAAGCCAGTTACAGCGAGTACTAGAAATAAAAGGGTCAGAAGATGCTCAGCTAAGAGCTGCTAGATGTCAAGTGATCAGAAATTTGTAGTTATTAGAAAGTGACAGAGACGCTTCAGCAAGAAGCAACAGAGGCTGGACAAGCCCAGATGAAGAGACTACAACTTACAACGTGTCAGATTTGAGGCAAGACTATGTAACATTTCATACTCAAACAGTCTTGGAAAAATTATGATCCTATCCAACATTTAAAAACAAAGCCGTGTCGGAGTTCCCTAAACCTAATTCTAACACAATGTAATCACACATTCACCAGCATCAAAAATAGGCAGCCTAATTTTCCATAACTTGAACAGAATTTGGGACTATTTGGATAGAGTGAAAGTCCGTAACAGGCAGAAATGCCTGAATTTTTGGAACACCATCCAGGATCAACTAGCAGAAGTCTATTGTATCTCTCACTTCGCCAACTCATAACAACCACTGGAAAAACAGATGATACTGAGATAACATTAAAAGCTATGGACTCTGAGCAGGCTAAGTGAGGCTGCAGGCAAGGGAGAGATCTCCAGACTTGTGAAGATACAGAAGAGATGCATATGAAAATTAGTATATCACGTTTCTTCCTAGGGGAGAATCTATCATCTTTCAGACAGCTATTTGCACAAGGTGCAGTTAAGGAGATTCTACTCCAAATATAATTTTATAATCAGCAATAAAATATAATTTGTGCACAGAACTTTTTAGAGAAGGGAGACATTAGAGACCTGCTAAATGTATTCTTAACGACCTGATGGAAAGTCAACTTTAGGGACTGACAGTCAAAGCCAGAATTTTCCCTGTCAGTTTTAGGGGCTGACAAGTCACAGAGCAGAAATAGGATTTTCAAAGGAGAGCTTGAACATTGGGACATCCAAAGAGAATGACTTTCCCTGTTTGCATTGGCTGTCTATGAATGGGAATGCCCTGAATATGTGTACTTAAACCTGGACAGACACCTCGCTGGGGGGAGGGTCCACATGGTTCTGCAGAACATGATAACGCGGCACCGCTGAGCGCCTGATCCGCTTCTACTACGAGAGCTGACAAGCCCTGGCAACCTAAGGTTTTTGTTAAAATGACTTAGTTGCCTACGACTGTGCAAAACTATCTGAACCACACAGCGGAGTCCCAGGCAGAGCTGCACACTCTCCTGGGCTTACTAGGGATTTACAGATCAGGCATGGAAGCAACTGAGTCCCTAGGGATGCCTAATTCCGTACACTCGCTTCCGTGAGTCTTAGCAACCTACACCGGCAATAATGCAAATAGCAGAAACCACAACCAATATCTCTTTTGGGCATGGGACTGAAAGGATGCAGCAGCAGGGCTGTTTCAGACATTTTACCTAACAGTGCAGTGACTGCAACACTGGTCAAGGAGGGTAGAGACCTGGACCATGCACCTTCCATAGCCACAGGCGTTTTCACATTTGTATTTCTCAGAGGAGTGCCCTAAGCAGCCTAGAAGTAAAGTTGAGAAAACAGCCATCCATCTTCCTGTTGAAGATGAGCCACTGCAAAGGGAAACATGAACATGAATTCAAATTCATAAGCCCAGAGAGAAGAAATAGCTAGGTGCACAAGCCACTGTGGACAGTCACCGAAAGAAAGATATTAAGGACTGAAACTCAGATTTCTCAGGTCTATCTATCCACTTTAAGTTAAGAATTCTCTGCCAAAATCCAAAATCAACATCCCATGCAGTGAATGGGAACCAGAAGCCTCCTCTAAGTCCAGGTGACCATTGTATTTCAGATGCACATCATTGCTGTTTCATGCTGGCAGATTGATGGCTATTTTACTCCCATTCGTTTTAAAACAGGGCGGAAGGGTTGCCTCCCAGGGGAAAGGCGCTACATATGTAACCAAAGGGATGCCTTGGTTTGCTGCAGCCGGACTACCCCCCTCAGAGCAGATTCCTAAAGAATTGTCACAGAAAAGAAACAGCAAGCTCTTTTGCAAGACCCGTTTCTTGCTTGAGGCCCCGGAGAGTGGCGGGGCCGAGTGAGATGGAGAGAGAATCTCGTTTTGACATTTTAAAACTGGAATTAAGAATGTGAAACGGACATTTTAAATGGAAAGCTGTTCTTAAGAAAATATTTCATTTATGCACTACTAGACAGGTGTTACAAAAATAATTTTTTCAAAAGAAGTTTATTTGCACCTTTATAAAACATTTGAAGTAAGATTTAGCACAGCAGTTAAAGATTACTGCAATGGGGGGAACCACAACCAAATCTAATTAGAAGTTGATTAGTCCAGTCTCATTCCCTATACAGTAAAATATATTAGGAGTAAGAAGGCAAAGAGCATAAATTTGCTCCTACCCAAAACAAAACTATCTTGTCGCATCAGTTACACACACAGGCAAGAAGTGATCCATGTAGTTATTTCTTGAATGGATCTTTCTTTTCTTGCAGCTAATCAGAAATGCAGGTCTGAAGCTTTTTTCCTAACATCCAGAGCACTGCGAGTTCAGTGCCCTTATCCAATTCATTTCCAGTTCAAATTGAATTGTGGTCAAGTCGATACTCACATGAGAATCTCAAACACCATTAATCTTTTAGCTAAGGTGACTACCTGTTATCCAGAACAATAACGGGAAGCCACCAAATCATAGCAGAAAGTAAAAAAATATGTTTTATTTTACCACAGACCGCTATGATAAGCTATTACATTCTAATACCTTGAAATACTATTATGTTGTCTGCATCATTAGCCTGACGTTTTACAGAAGATAACGTCTATATTTTAAAAGGAGTCAATGTTCTGTCTACATGATTCAAGCCATGTTTCAAAACACAAGCTAATCAACTCTAAAGATACTTCTCCTTCTTTGTCCTTCACCAGATCTCTCACCTCATCTAGGCCTGACCAAGACAAGAATAAAATACTGGTTACTCATCCATTTTTAAGAAATACAGCACCAACTAACCATGCGGGCTGCATAACATTAATGTTGAGAAAGGATAACGTGCTCCTATCACACCTTTAAGTCTCCTGTCTAGACTAGGACTTAAGGAATCACAGCTGCTCAAATGCAGTCCCAGCGAAGAAGGGAGGAAAGTGTTTGAGCCGCACTCACCACCGTAAACTGCCCAGCCTAGGCTGTTTGCACTACTGCAGCAAAAAAGGAAGACCGTGTCTCTATGAAAAACCTCGAGAAAAGCAGACGCCTAATGAATAAGAACCTGAAGGAGCAGACATCTATGGTTCTTGTTACCCTAATAATCACGTAAATCTTTGTACAAGTCGCTACATGCTAAGATAATTTAGCAGCGCAGCCCCGATTGCTTCCCTATTCTCTCTCCAAACGTTATCATCGCGAACCACCTACGCGATTTGCCAGCAGAAAAGCTTGGAGCAACACTTGCAATATCTCAGAAGGGAACCCATCAGTAACCCTGCGCCTGCTCTTAGGGGAACATAATTCTGAAACTACATTATTTAGGGGAAGCTACTAAAGGAAAGGATTTAATTATTTTTATTTTTTGCATAGCCATACTCTCAGGCACCTCAATTTCCACTCATCTAAAACCTCTCTCTCAATTGTCAAGGAATATGTACGTTTAAAATTTCAGTCTAAAGAGTACACTTCTAACAAAAGTATTAATAAAATAAGCTGTTATTCAGAATGTTTCATTTATGAGCAACTAAGAGAATTTGTTTCTGTTCATATACTGTTGTTTCACATACTACTTAGCTACTCATGTTTATTCATGTTTATTTATTGTCTTTTTTTTTTAAGTTGCAAGTTACTGCCAACTGTGTTGACTATAAAAATATTTAAGAACTATTGTTTTCTACATGTGAATGCTAAAGCTAACATATCTTTATGACCACTATTTGATAAAAATTTTCAATTATTCATTGCAAAACCTGTGACAAAACAGTTCCATCAAGAGCAAGTTAGAGTATATTCAACCCCAAGCACTACTGCGGTTATACTAAACTATGAAAGTCATTGCAGACTAAATATAAGAGTGACTTTAACACATTAAGGATCATTTTTCTGACACAATCAAGTAACATTATATGGCTGAAAGCAAATTTAAGAAGCCCTGTTGCATACTGTTCTACTACATGATAATTTTTGCTATCTATATTTACTTGTACATCTCTACAACAACATGAGCTAGAGGAAAAATTAAAACCTGGAAAGAGATGACGACACTAAGCGATACAGGCATCAGGAAAAAAAAAAAGTGCTGTACTCTAAACTAGCACAATCCACCTGAACACACATACAAGAGGAGCTGGCCTACCTGGCATTTGCAAAGAAAGTTCAAAGAACACCAGCAGGGGATAAAAAGATCTATTTTCAGTGCCCATGCAAACCGTCATGTTACCTTGGCTCAGTGGGGTAGTGGTGGAGGAGAATCCCAATCTCAAAAGAAATACCTATAGGATTAAGTAGGGAGAAAAAATAGCCAAAAAAGCCATTAGAGGACTCCCTGCTTGTAAGACTTGTTTTTTTGTGGCTTCCATAGAAAAAAAAAAAAAAAAAAAAAAAAACACAAAGTAAGATGAATACTTCAGATGTTTAAGAAACTGAGATAGGAAAAAGAAATCCAAGGGAACTCAGCAAATACGGCATTTAATTAAAAGCTTCTATGCAAAAACATTAGAAGGAATAAGTTCCAAAAATGCACTGAGCACCTTGAAACACCTGAGTCTAAGATTAAGTCATGCAACTTTAAAAGGTAATCTTGTATAGCTCAGAATTTCTAGAGGATGGTCTGCATTTCAATTCCATAAACTAATCAAGAAGCCTAGCATTTTGTCTGACAGAATTAGTCCATTAGCTCGCAAATTTAAGGGTAGATTCACTAAAAATACTAATAAAAATAATTCTACAATATTTTTCTGGTTATGTAGAATTTCAAAGCATGAGAACAAAAATAAAAACACTAAAAAAAATAGTCTTCAGGTTTACAATAAGGTCCTATATCCTACAACCTTGTACTTTATTATAGGTGCTTTTTAGAGGGATGATCTGCATACGAACCCACCCAAAAGACCTAGGAGATCAGCATATATTCAGTGCTGAAGGCTTCAAAGTAATAAACAAGATCAAGTCGATCAGATTGGCTACTTGCATTTTTCACTTCCTTCCACCTCTACAGATACTTAAAATATTTGCGTTTGTTTCCTGTTAACGCTGTGAAGTTCTCAGCTGAGAGAACTCTCTCCTGCAAGGGTCCCTCGCCACAAACTGAAAGGCTAGAACTGGTCTGCCACTAGATGGAAAATATTTTAACATGATGCCTGATGTCTGCACGAAACATGCCAGAACTCCATCCTGCGTCCTCTCTTTTCTTAGAAATAGGCATGAGTTTTTCACGGAATTTATTCATCTGCTCTTGCAATAAAGAGCAATAAACAAAGTTTTATCTGACGAGGGCACAAGAGAGAGGATGGCAGCTTGGCCACGAGGTTGCAATAAGTCCTACAGAGGATGTAGGAAACAAGATTTTGCTTCCTGCCTTGCCCAGGTAAATAAGAGTATTCTAGTCAATCTACTACACTGAATTTTCCACAAGAAATCTTGCTAAAAATGTACGAATACCAGTCTCTTCTTTTTCTGTCATTACTACGTATGTAAAAGCCCCTAGATATTTGTTAACTTTTCACATGCACCACTTCAGAAGGAACAGTATTCTCCAAGTTACACTTCCATTGAATGTTTAGTTTTTTCTTTCTGGCAGGTTTGAACCATGTTTGTTTCTGAATACATCTTATCCTGCATGACAGAGCACTCAAAGATAAAAGATAATATTTTCCCAAATCGAAGTGAAATGAGAAAACCATAAAATTTCAGAGCATCAGTAAATTTAACCTAGTTTACATAGCACCTATTGAACTGAAGAGCTGTAGAACAAATTAAACTATGCCATCTCCTCAAAAGTCTACGTTTACAGTAATTTGTATGGTCGTATTATCCAGTTTTAATTAGGATCAGGACTCCAATGTGCTAAACACTCACTAGATAAAATAGCATTTAGTTTTCATAGTACTTGGAAAGCAACGTACTCAGATATTTGAGCAATTCTGCAATTTCAACTGTAGTTTTCCAGACTTAATCACCACTAAGTTACTAAATACATCAATTATCTTTGACTCGAGATGCTGATTTCACAATTAATACATTTCCCTAATTATGTCTCTTGTATGTTTTGAATTACCATGCAGAATCCCTTGACTGGGAGGCAGATTTTCATCTTTAGGGCAAACACCTCTATGAAGAGCATCATCGACTTGGAGACATTTCCATGATATTCTGTCTCTATACACCTGTATTGTTTAATTCACATTTTCAAAGAGTCATGATTAGTTAAGTCTGTTTTTGGCCTTTGTTTCCTAGAGAAAAAGCAATAGATTAACAAAAACTTCATATTTACATTTTTTATTACTTGAGAAAAAGAATTCTCAAGTGTAGAGCTATTTGGAGAACTTGCTATACTGCTTCAAGAGCCCAAGAACAGTCCTGCCTCTAAAGCACTGGCCAGATGTCAACAGCAGATCTTGCAAGTGAGGAACACAATTAACTTTGTCAGTCCTTTATTTGTGCTTTAGTTTTCTGCTTGAATAGAAATAATAATCCTTTTCTATTTCATGGGAACTTGCTAAAAATATCTATGTTAAAGACCGTTGAAGGCAGATTGTGAAATTATGGTACTGGAGCTGCACAAGCACTTAAAATACTTCACCAATGAGGCTTAGACCTCTATGCCTTCAGGATGGGAGGAAGATACTGACAAAGCCGGATCTTATATTAAAGCTCTGCATATGATACACATCAACAGATTCTCTTCAGAGAGCTTTCTAAACATGCAAAGGACAAATACATCAGTGTTAGAAGTTACCTAACTCCCCTCCATAAAAAACAAATAAATAAAAAACTGTACTTTCTAATCTGCACGCTCATTACTTCTTTCCGAGCCTTCATGACTAGCCAGGGTGTATCACTTGCAATCTGTTTCACTTGACAGCTTCTGTTCTTACCTCCCTGCAGACCTTTACTTGCACAGGCCCACTCATCCAGTTTAGCCTCATTCTCACAGCTAAAGGCTTGCTCAGAAAGCTCAGCTTCTTCTGAAACCAGAGTGGGCTATAGCTGCACATAAACAACAGACGTTTCTTTGCTGCTGGGTCTGCAAATCCATTTTGGAGGGAAAGAAGATCTTAGAATTGCAGCACCTACAAATGCTCAGATAATATATTTTGTATAATCTCTCACCAGGAGGCAGCAAAGTAGCACCTCACCCTTCCTGTACACAGAAAGTGCCCTGTGAAGCTACCATGTGAAAAGTACTACATTTATGTACACTCCAGCTTCCCACCACTAAAACCTTTTGGCATTTGGAAGTTCATGTCCTCGAGCATCTGAAGACGCAAGACTTAGGGAACAGACTTGGCACAAGTGGGATCCAGAAGCTGCTCCTTTTTTCAAGATCACGCCAAGACCATGTGGCAGGAACAAGGCACAAGCTTTTGACTGTTCAGAAAGGTAACATAAATGTAAGCTTTCTTAGCTACCATCACCAGCAAACCTAAACATGCATGGAGATGCTCCCCACGGTAAAGGCAACCCCTCTGTCCCTCTCTCCTCCTACTGATATTCCTCATATAGCAAACAAGGCTTCACTCACCTAGGGCACATCCCTTGTCCTCAAACTCCTGCTCCCATATCCTAAAGCACATGCTCCAGATAAGCAGGGCTTACTGCAGGCTCTATAAAGCCTCTGTAGAGTTCAGTGGAGAAGTCACTGCTGCTGCATGAGCTACAGCCAGGTCCCGGGGAATGAGCAGAAGCCACTGTGAGCAGCAGCATCTGGAGGAGGAGGAAGAGCAGCTGTGCCTTTGTACCACCATGATCCTGCAGCCTGCGCCAGCGGCACGCTTAGCTGCAGGAATCTTTGGCCTAGAGCAAGGAGCAGGGAGCACATCTCAAACCTCTCCTTCTCCTCCTCAATTTGTGCTTCTGAGAAAACTGCTGGAGGTGCATCCAGCCGCTCAGGGCTGACAGGACTGCTTTGCTGAAGAAAGATCTAGACAAAATGTTGTATTTGCTTGTAAAAGAGGAACATGGTTTACATTTCAACCGGCATTTCCCAGGAAAGAACACTAATTACCTGCTTAAGGGCTACAGAGGCATTCTCTGCTGTTCTTGTTAATGTGGTGCTCCATGCCTGAAAGGGCTGCAAGGCTCCCTCACTACGCAGTGCAAAAGGAAACTCAACTTTATAGTTTTGCCATTAGGAAAGTCTTCCACAGACTGAGACACGTGGATTTTGGCCCTGTTTCCAGGGTTTGAATATTAAATTGCCAGTGAATGAGAGCAGAAGCTGCACTGGCAGTCACAATCTGAACCCCTTCCCACCAGAGTGACCTAACCACTAGCTCCACAGTAAAAGGTCCATAACACACCCATAAACTATATGGTATACGGCTCTTTTCACCATGTAAACACTACATTCATTCCTATAAAGTGATTCAACTTCACCAGGTGGAATAAAGGGCTCCCTAGCTTACCCTGGCCTTGTACCTGGGTACAGGTTGGACCAGGAAATAGAAGACTCACATTTGAACCTCTCCACCTGAAGAAGGAATTTCATTTTTTTTCTGTTTCTTGGGAGAATAATTGTAGTCACTCTCTCATTATGTAAGAGATTTTTTCATAACAAAAAATGTAGTGAGGGCAACATCTAAAATGCAAAGATTAGTGCTATCTACAAATATGTTATGTAATAGGCCAGAGACTTCCTCCATCAGTTTCCAGGTATAGCACAAAGTTGAAGATTTTTTGCTCACTGCTTTGTATCAAGTCCACATGAAACACATACTTGTGGATTTCAGGTACAACTCATGCGAAATCCTTAAGTAAACATCACTATGGTTATTTATCTCAACATGAACCAAGCGCACTTCTGCAACTGTCAATTGCAATTATTTACAACTCATTACCTTGTACAAATACATACAATCTCCATAAATATGCATTCCTCCAGTTAAGCTTGCACCCTTTCTAATAGTTAATTGAATGGGGCATTAGATCGCACATTGTCTGCAAATGGCAAATTTTCAGTCAGATTACCCTCAAATTTCTCTCTTTTTTTTTTTTTCCTTTAAGATACAAGTTGACTAGGGAATATCTATGGCAGTTGCTAAATTACTTTTAATTCACTGCTTAATCCTGCAGGTCAAC